CAGAGACAGCAAGCACACACAGCTTTAAGAAGCTTCATCTGAAACTGGAAAATTCATGTGTCTCTGACTCCATGGTCTTGGGCTGGGCAGGTGGGGTGTTGCCTGGATGGGAGTGAGCCTTCTGGGAGGCCTGTGCAAATGGAATCACACTGGAGAAGCACACTTTCAAGAAGGCTGAACTGCTAATGATGACTTTAATCATAGGATGAAGCAACAGTGAATGACAATGACCCTGGTGAGAGCTCTGAATGCCCTTTACAGATCTCACAAGATTTACAGCAGATTCTGGTGGCTGGACAGGGGAGCAGAGGCACCTGGGTTTTCATTCAGAAATCCAGCTCCTTTGCTTCATCTCCTTTGGGAAATGTCCCTTTGCATTTTCTCTTTTGTATATATGGCAAGAGTGACTTTCAGTTGTGTTTTTGTGGTTCCAGGCTCCACAAAAGGTCACAGGGTTACCTAAACACAAAGAGAATGAAAAGTAAGACCGTCTGGGCTCTGTGAGACTCTCCTCTGCCTTGCCTTAATGAAGCCTTCTGGCCTTGGACATGCCTCACTTTGTGGGGGTGGACGGGGGAGCCTTGGATGGCTCAAGATGAAACAGAAATAAAAAAGTTCAGTACTTTGGTTACAAACTTCAGAAAAGTTGGTCATGTTCCTACTTTGAATGACTCCTTGAGTTTATTGTTATTTTTCCTCATGTTTTTAATAAGTTTTTTTTTCCTTATTGCAAAAACCACATATTCATAATAGAGCATTTAAGAAACATAGTCAATAGAGGAGAATGGTGGAGAGGGTGAATTCAACTATGCTACATTGTAAGAATTTCCACAAATGTCACAATGTACCCTCAGTACTACAATAATATGATAATAAAAATTTTAAAAAAAACAGTCAAGGGCTGGGGGTGTGGCTCAGTGGTAAAGTGCTTGCCCATCATGGACAAGTCCCTGGGTTCAATCCTCAGCAACAAAGAAAAGAAAGAAATATAGTCAAGAAAATAAGAAGTACCTATAATCCTACTATATTAGATAACCACTAATACTTTTTGTCTTTTTTTCTCATGTATATATGTGTATGTATATGTATGTAGATATTTGTGTGGTTACATGATCTGTCATTGATGTTTCTCATTTCTATAGCTATATATTTTAAAACTATATTCTAAATGGCATTGTGCATACCATATGACTGTTGCCTACCAAACTTCATTCTTAAAATTTCTGTCATAGATTTTTCTGACATCTGGCTGCATTTTGCAGTCCACATTTTTTTCTGCTTTTAACTTCTACAAGAACATTGAATGAAAGACTTAGGGACTCAAAAGGGTGTAAGAGCCTGATCTCTACCCTCTCAGCCCTGAGCTGAGATGAGCAGGCATGTGAGCAAGCGATCCTTTGAATTTCTCCTTGCTTCCTAAGGTTCCTCTTCCTCAAGATAACAGGCAGGGAAGTGTGTCTTTGCTCTAGTGACAAGTCAGCTAACTGCTGCCCATCTCAGCAGCAAATAGGTCCTCATCAGACTAGAGAAGGACCACCTCAGCAAGGGGAGGGGTTGGAGGATCCAGTACAGAGCCACGTGCAGGACAGAGAGGCCAGATCTGTAGACCCACCTCTGGGCCCATGCTTGGACTCTCCCTCCCACCATCCCTCTTCTGCTTGGCATCCACTAGGATCCCCACCCTCAGTCCTCCTGCCTGAGCTCCTGATGTACACCCTGGTGGCTGTGCCCTTTGCCAGGTTCTCAAGCCTCGGTCACCTCACTGTGTCTGCCTCTGTCTATCGCACCAGCTGTTGGAGGCCCTGGGCTCCTACCACTTCTTTATACTTACCACAGTGCTCCACGATGTGCTTTCAGGAGAGAGTTGCTGGTTCATTTGTCTCTGCTCTTTTTCATGGTCCTCCTCTTCCCAAAATTATTCTTTTGCAAGATAGATTCTGACTACCAGTCCTCATCCCTTCTGCCCTGAGAGCCCCTCACTGGCCAGTTACAGTTTGTCAGCTCTGCTGTGGGGAACCAGTCCTGCCCACCTTCACTCACTCAATGCCTGTGCTGCAGGTTTTATAAAGTGCAGGTGTAGAGATGTCCAGACCTCACCCTGTCAGTCTTTCTGTGGTAGTGCTGCCTCAGAGTCTAGGTGCCTGTTTATTTTTAAAGCTGCAGCATTGGTGCCAGTCCTTCCTTACTGGACTATCAACACTCTAAGTGTCTCTGGGGCTTTAGTCTCTCTTCTTCTGATGTGGTCCACTGAGCAAATGAGTTCTCTTCCTAAAGCACTGGGGTCACCTCACGGCTCCGGAGTGCCTACAGGGAAAAGCCCATCCTAGCCTTTACACGTGGCATTGAGTGCTGCATGGGCGAGGCCTGCCCTCTACCTCTGCCCCTTCCTCTGCCACTCCTGGGTCACTTTTCTCCTGTAGCTCTGTCTGGAAACATCTTCACATTCTCAGGCAGCCCTTAAAACGTTCATTTCTTAAAACTACTGTGATTCTCCTGGTTTGTTGGGTACTGCCTACTTTGTGGTCTCTCAATACAAATGACTTCTGCAGCACATCAGCCAGCCCCTCTGTTAGGATTGTTTATCATCCTCCCAAACACCATGAGCCTCTTGGAAATTTATCATTGAATCCTCAACAATGACTGTTGGCCCACAGAGTGGGAGAAAATATTTGCCAGCTACACATCAGACAAAGGACTGATAACCAGAATATATAGGACCTCAAAAAACTAAATTCTCCCAAAATTAATGAACCAATAAAGAAATGGGCAAGTGAACTAAACAGAACTTTCTCAGAAGAAATTCAAATGGCCAAAAAACACATGAAAAAACGCTCATCATCCCTAGCAATAAAGGAAATACAAATTAAAACCACACTAAGATTCCACCTCACTCCTGTTAGAATAGCCATCATTAGCAACACCACTAACAACAGGTGTTGGCGAGGATGTGGGGGAAAAAGGAACACTTTTACATTGCTGGTGGGAATGCAAACTAGTACAAACTCTGGAAAAAAATTTAGAGGCTTTTAAAAATCTAAACATAGATCTACCATATGACCCAGCAGTACCACTCTTGGGGATATACCCAAAAGACTGTGACACAGGTTACTCCAGAGGCACTTGCACACCCGTGTTTATTGCAGCACTATTCACAATAGCCAAGTTATGGAAACAACCAAGATGCCCCGATACTGATGAATAGATTAAGAAAATGTGGTATTATACACAATGGAATTTTATGCAGCCATGAAGAAGAATGAAATCTTATCATTCGCAAATAAATGGATAGAACTGGAAAACATCATTCTGAGCGAGGTTAGCCTGGCCCAAAAGACCGAAAATCATATGTTCTCCTTCATATGCGGACATTAGATCAAGGGTAAACACAACAAGGGGATTGGACTTTAATCACATGATAAAGCAAGAGCACACAGGAAGGTATGAGGATGGGTTAGACACCCAAAAACTACATAGCATTTGTTGCCCTCAATGCAGAGAAACTAATGCAGATATTTTAAAGCGACAGAGGCCAATAGGAGAAAATGACCAGGAACTAGACAAAAGGTTAGTTCGAGAAGAATTAATTTAGAAGGTAACACACATGTACAGGAAAGCAATGCGAGTCAACTCTCTGTATAGCTGTCCTTATCTCAACTAGCAAAAACCCTTGTTCCTTCCTATTATTGCTTATACTCTCTCTACAACAAAATTAGAATAAGGGCAAAATAGTTTCTGCCTGGTAGCGAGGGGGTGGGGAGGGGAGAGGAAGAGGGTGGGGGAAGAGGGGAGAAAACCCAAACATTGTATGCACATATGAATAAAAGAAAGAAAAAAAACAATGACTGCTGGGAGTGGAGGACTCAGCACCAGGCAGATGCTTGGCAAAGGTTGGGACCCGGCTCAGGCCTATGCATGTCTCTACCCTTCTGTTTGAGTGGGTCCAGAGTTTGAGCAGATTTTGATGTCACTTTGGCTCTGCCTTGACGCCCTACAAAATGGGCACAGTTAGAACAAGAGCACAAAATGTTAACTATTCCATGTTAACAGGATGGAATAGCAAGTCACATACCTGAGGGCCACAGCTCCCTGTTGTTGTGGATTTACTAAGTACTAAAAATAGATGACCAGTTCTGTTGTAATAGTAGTACTGGTGAAACGTGAAATAAAACATTCCAGTTCAACAGAACCATTGAAATGTAGAGCTGCACATATGTTTTGGTTTGGGAGGTGAATGCTCACCATTGAAAACTCACAGAGGGAGATGCTATTACCAGGAAACTTAATGTAGAACAAAAACTAGTCTCTGACTCAAATCCTTACTAAATAAGAAAGAATGTACTAACTTGAAAGGGCACTGGTGGCTCATCTGTAATCTTAACTACTCAGAAGATATAGATCAGGATGATCAAGGTTCGAGGCAGCCTATGCAAAAAAAAAAAAAAAGTTAGCAAGACCCCCTATCTTAACAAAAACGCTGGGAGTGGTGTGTACCTGTAATCTCAGCTGTTCAGGAGGTATAGATAGGAGGATTAAAGTCCAGGTCACCCAGGCAAAAAATGTGAGACTCTATTTGAAAAATAGTTAAAGCAAAATGGGCTAGGAGTATGGCTCAAATGGTATAGTGCCTGCCTGCCAATTGCAAGGCCCTGAGTTCAAACTCCAGTGCTGCCAAAAAAAAAAGTACTCAATATAGTGATAGCAAATGAAAATAGGAAATTAATCAAGGGATTAACATACCTAATCACGTTCCTTCAAGATTTTTTTTTCTGGTGGTACTGGGGTTTGAACTCAAGGCTTCCACGCTTGCTAGGCAGGCATTCTACTACTTGAGTCACTCCACCTGCCTGGGAAAATTGTCATTAAATATTCCTCGGTGTTGACATAATTCTAGGTGTGAGTGCACATGTGTATGGTGGCTGCATTGAAGTGACTGTATCTCCACTGCAGAGAGTGAAACTGAGAACTGCCAGCCCAACCCTGACTCCATCTCTTTGTTACAGGGGGCAGTACCCAAAGGAAATGCCACTAAAGAGTTCATTGAGAGTTTGCAGTTGAAGCCTGGGCAGGTGGTGTACAAGTGTCCCAAATGCTGCAGCATCAAGCCTGACCGAGCCCACCACTGCAGGTACCTTCCTTGGTCTCTCTCCTCTCTACTGTCACCCTGCCTCCTGACACACACATACATACCCACACACACAACCTGGAATAGCCCACACACTTCCCCAGGGGCTAAGTCAGTGACAAGACTAATAAACGTCTCCTGCTGTGGGTGCAGAGTGTCCATTGTGAGGCTCCCTCTGCTCCCCGTGAGCCCACTGCATGGAGAGGGCATTTGATTTGGGACCAGGACTCAGCTCTGCCATAGCTGATGCAGGCCTTTGTGTCAATGTATGTAAAATTGAGGGGACTCTGAGTTTCCTATTACCACATGGCTTTGTTGCAAGGGTACCATGACTGAGACCATTCTGTCCTGTGGATGTCTGGTACCTCAAATGAAAGGGGTTGTTCTTGAGTGAAGGCTTTCCTTTAAAACAAAACTTGTAGACAATTGTGGAATTCAACCAAAAATAACACAAAACAAAATTTTCCCATCCTACCTATAATATGTTTTACCTTTTTGTTTTCAGGTTCTTTTTTTGTTTTGCATCTTCTCAATGAGAAGACATCTAGATAAAAATTACACTTTATCATTACAAAAGAACTTTAAGGGCCAAATTACAGAGCCACAAAAATGCCACTGTATCCCCTTTCCAGACCAGTGAATATGTTTGGAGGTTAGGGAGCAATGCACTTGCTCTCAGAAGTGGGTCATCCTTGTCAGTTTGAGGTTATAGAGAGACACTGGGTTATATAAGAGATCTGAGCAAGTGAATGGTGGCCTTTCTATGGGGGCCTCGCTGCCCATGTCACAGGGGAGGGTGGTCAGTCTCCAGCACTCAGATTGCAGTCAGCTGCTCAGTACCTGCTATATCTGGCGCCTCAGCCCGCCTGTCTCCTCACTTACCTCATTTTCTCATGGCCACCTCTGTTGTGAGGGGTGGCTTTCTCTAGTTGAGGAGACTAAGGCTCCAAGGTCACACAACCAGTGAGTACTCTAGACAGGATTGGGTCCTGGTGGCTCTGGCTCCAAGTCTAGGCAGGGACGCGATCTCCAGTTTGGAGATGACTCCTGTAACTTTGTGTAATTGTGTGCTTGTTTTTCTGTCTCTGACCGAGAGAGATATCTTCAGTCCTCCCTAGTACCTAGCCTGCTTGAGGGTAAGGGCTAAGGAACTTGGACAGGGGCCTATGGTGGTGGCTGTCTCTTGAGGACTTTCTGCCTTTGGGTTGACTTGCTTCTTGTGCCTCAGATGACATCCAGCCTTTCCCTGCTCCCCTGGGGTGCAGGAGCTAGCAACTCTTCTAGCATCACCTGGATGCAAAGGCCTGGCTTGCTCACATGTTCCACCAAATAGCTCCATCGGGTGGCCTTGATGTTGCAGAGGTCAGTGTTTGAAATCCAACACTGTCCCCACCACGCTGTGGCACTTAGGCTAGGTGCTTCATCTCTAAGCCTCAGCTTTCTTTGTGTAACCAGGGGCAGTTCCTCCATGGTTTATTTCAGTGATTAAATGTACATAGTTGTTAGTCACCCAGCTCAGTAGAAGCTACTTGTTAACAGAAGACTGTGTTGGAAGTTTGAGGAATGCTAACTTTATATATGCTGGACCAGACATAGAACTATTAACTTTGCAGAAGAGAACTTTGGGGCTACCACAGTGGTTCTTTCCTCTTCCTTCCCTGAGTCCTTGGCCCCCTGGTGTTTTCCTCACTACCTCCCTACCTCCCTACCTACCGTGATCCGGAGGAGGTCTTCTGAGTACTGATAAACAAATCAGCTTGGCAAAATAGGAGCCGCTGATTCAGAAAAACCCAAGGTGGTGGGGGGAGGGTGCCTGTGAGTTCAGGAAATGTGTGCTAACAACTGCTCCTTTGTGATGGCACATGGCAGCCCAGGCCATCTGGGGACCCACAATTGGATAAGCAGAATCCCAGCACAGGACACAGACTGGGCTTGTTTATGGTTGCTCGAGCCCAGAGGCTGCTGCCTGGCAAGAGAAAGTAGATGTTTGGTCTTGCCCACTCATGCAAGGGTTCCTGTGTGGATGCTTGTGTTTGTATCCAGCTTTTTACTCCTCTGCCCCCAATAGAGTCCATAGAAAGTGAAACTGTCTCCATTGTTGGAGCTCTGGTGGGCACCACAGACACACCTAGACCTTGGACCTGGATGTGTGCCTTCTAGCCCTGCAGTATGTGGTGGGTCTTTTCCTCCAGGAGAAGCACTTGGAACCTCAGGCTCCTTTTATCCTGGTTCATGAGGACCATGGAAGTACATAGAAATCCTGAGGGAGGAGCCATTTGTGCTAATGTGGATGGCTAAGACTTTAGGCTTATGTGCTAGGTTCTTCATGGAGGAAGTAGAGACCTATATCCTGGCAAGGTGTACACCCCACCCTCCCCCCACCCCCACACAAAGAGACTGAGACTGTCGTGAGTTGCTTAGAGCCCATGCCAGATTGCTGTTGTTTTGACTTTGTCATCCTTACAATTACTAATAACATTTATATAGCATTGGTATTGTTTTAAAGTATCTTGCATACATTAGTTGGTGCTTACCTGGGAGATGAGGGTTATTCTGCTGAGAATGATTTGGAGAACCTAAGTTTCTTTGTCCAGATGCAAACTGAGAAAATCTGCCCTCAGACCCCCATTCTTTCCATTGCATGGCACTAACTGTCTTTCCCCAAATCACTCTGGGCCAGGGTGTGGTGGCGATGTCTGTTTGCTTATAATTTTGTCCTAGCCAATGAAGTATGAGATGAGAGCCTATATGCAAAGCCATGGTCCCCTTACTACTTCTTGCTCTTTTCTTTTTCATTTTCCCTACCATAAACACCCCAGCCAGTTCAGCATAATTCCTCTCACTTTCCAAGCCTGCTCTTGCCCCATCTGCAGTGTCAGCCTTCATTCAGCAGACCCTGCCAGGCTAGTCCCTGGCACTGAGTTTATAGTGGTGGACTAGAAATGACTCTGACCTCAGGGGCCTCCCACCCAGGCAGGGCAGGCACACTTGTCCACCACGACAGTTTGATAAGTGCTACTGTAAGCAAAGATGCAGATGACCATGGGACATGGCTATTCTCAGGATGGGCAAGGGAACCTCTGCCAGCTCCTTTGGGGTTGTATACTGAGGAAGGGCATTCGTATTCATACCTCCTAGAGAGGAAACATGCTTCAAGAGTAAATGTATAAATGCAGATGAGCCATTGAGCTGGTTGGGTTCTTCCAAGGTTTGAGTCCTGAACAGTGGTAGGGAACCTGGAGAAACAGAGGAGAACCATCTGCCTCCTTCTAAAACAACTGTGTCTTGAAACACAGAAACCTGGAAGCAAAGACACCAGAAATACCTCCATGTTAGGCATCTGGTCTTTTCATGACTTATAGTGCCTCAGGAGCTCCCAGCCTCTGGCTTCTTGTCCCTGAGACACTGGAATCAGTGCTAGAAAGGAGTGGGTTAGCAATACCTAAGGGAAACAGCAGGCAAGGAAGGAACCTCAGAGGCTAGGGTGGGTTTTGCTATATGGAGAGAAAGGCCTCGAGCCATCCATAACCCATGTGGAAAGGTGGTCGCAGGCATTTGGGGACAGCTGCTAGCCATCCTAGGTCCCCATGCTTGTGCTGCCCTGCTGTGCCTGGAGAGGGGACATCACCCAGCCCCATCCACTGTGCATGCAGTGGGTCTGGGAAGAGGACTGACTGAGGTGGTTGACTCTCTGTGGATCCTTAGAAGTTCTGAATGGAAGCCCACATCCTTTCCTCCTCATGTGAGATGGTGCCTCAGGTGAGACAGGACAGGGCATAGAGTGGCCTTCACTGCCGCTCCAGGGTCTACCTCCAGGCCTTGCCCTTGGCATGCTCCCAGCCCAAGGGCCATCCAGGTGAGCCCTTTGAGAGCAAGTCAACCTCTGAGCAGCACACCTTACTCTGCCCACCCTACAGCACAGGGTCTGTTCTGGGGATAGAAGTACTGGTTGTGGTATTTCTTATCCTTGAAAACAAGAAAGTAGGGACTGCCATTTTGGGCCCACTTTTGCAATGCTCAGTGGGCAGTACTTACTTCCCTTGCTCCCTAAAGCATATTTGTCTGTCCAGTTTGGCTGACAAGCGAGATGTAGTCTGTTGTGAAGCCCGGGTTCCTAATGGCCACGCCTGGTCTCTTCAGAGCTCAAAGTCTGCACCATTGTAAGAGCTTGTTTAAACTCTTGGCCAGCTTTCAGAGGATGGCAGGCCACTTGGTGCCTTTCACCACTGAGCTCGCATTGCCTCAAGGGCAAACACTTGAAATTCTTATAGAAATAAATATAATGAAGAGGAACTGCTCAGGCGCCTTGGAGCAGGAAGTGGTTACTCTCAGGAGTTTGTTCCTCAGTTGAGAAGGGAATTAAGAGCTGACTATCTGGAAGAGCATGTAGAAATGGGCTGCAGCATTGGCTCCCTGGAGAGCAGTGCACTTTTCACTGTCTACTTGTTTGTGCTTTTAAAATTGTGAACTGGGAACACGTGTTATCAGTTAAAATGTATATTATGTATATTCATAGATATAATCATGCATTTTTTTAAAGTGGTAATATAGGGCTGGGGCCATGGCTCAAGTGGTAGAGCGCCTGCCTAGCAAGCATGAGGCCCTGAGTTCAAACTCCAGAAAGAGAGAAACAGAACTGGGCCATGGAGTTGCTGGTACTTGGCTGTCTGCTTCCCTGTGCAGACCTTCCAGGTCTCATTTTCTTACCTTGCCTTCCTGGTCTCCAGGGAGATTCTGGAGCTAGGCCAGCATTTCTGAGATGTGCCTGTTGGCAGCATGCCTGCATTAGAAAGGCTTTCTAAAGTGGTGGAGAAGAACAGGGGTAGAGATCAGTATGAATCCACCACTTGTGTGAGCCAGCCCCAAATATCTTTTCTCAGGTTGATTTGAACCTGAGGCTTGGTGTTCAGCCAGTTTGACCAAGGTAGCTCAGCTGACCCAGGTCTCCAGAATTTCTGCCTTGCCCTTGGTTTTTTTGGTCTTTTAGGGAAATGAGGAGCAGCTCTTCTGTATCCCATCCCACTGTGTCAAGTTTTGCAAATTATTTCAACCCATGTTGCCTCAGAAAAGCCTCTTTCTCAGCTAGGTCAGTTCTGGCCTGTTTATGTGTTAACCAACAGAGACGAGGCCTTGGAACTGAATGCCTGTTTCCCCTGTTGGAAATGACTGTGCTCTGGGTCTGACCCTGCCTTCCAAGCCCCTTGCAAACACACACCCAGCAAAGCCTCTCTCAGAGTCCGAGGAACCCATTTTAGAAGAGTGAACTGGAGTCCTAGGTCCTGTGTTCCCCTCAGGGCCACCCCCAACACCGTGAGAACACCCCTAAAGGTCTGACTTGTGGGCTCTTGCAGTGTTTGTAAGCGGTGCATTCGCAAGATGGACCACCATTGTCCCTGGGTCAATAACTGTGTCGGCGAGAACAACCAGAAGTACTTCGTCCTGTTTACAGTAAGTCGGCTCTGCATTCCACCCTGACCTCTGTGCAGCAATGGAGTTCTTTGTTCCTTTGGAAATTCTCAGCATTTGTGGTGGTCTTTGCAGCTGTGCAGAACACTGCCTGCCCATGTAGCTTTCCACCTTCCTACCCAACATCTCTGGCTCAGCAAATACCCTTCACTTGAACTTGTAGAGAACTGACTTGGGTTGACTAGCTGGAAGCAAGGGCTGTGTTTTGGGCCCCACCCTGAGTGTTGGGCCTTCATAGCCAAAGAAGGCAGTGCTGGTGATGACCTCAAATCCTGCACTGCAGGTAGGTGGAGAATTAGCATGAGGACTGGAAGGACTTTCCAAGTGAGGAGAAGCAGCAGGCCTCACATACCCCAGGCAGCCCAGGTCATACCTGGTGTGTGGGCTTTGTTTCTGTTCTGTTTCCACACTTTGCTGGGGAATGGCTGCTCACCTCACACTCAGGGTGCACTGGGGGGACCTGCAGGCCAATCACACATGCCACTGCCTCCTTCCTGGTCAGGCCTCAGCTAGCAAAGTGTTCCCGAGGGGCATGTTCTGAGCACCCTGTTCCAGGACCTGCACTGTCAACAGGTTCTTACAACAATGGCATCTGCACTACTTTCCTGTTTCAGATGTACATAGCCCTCATTTCCTTGCACGCCCTCATCATGGTGGGATTCCACTTCCTGCATTGCTTTGAAGAAGATTGGACAAGTGAGTACATGCCATGGTTTTCCTTCCTGCTCCAGGGTGGGTGTGTGACCCACGCAGGGTAAGGGTGGGAGGCTTTCTGTTTCTTTCATAGTGCCAGGGTACAACTTCATTTTATTAGATCTCCTACAAGCCTACGGACTGAGCAAGGAAGGCACAGCACAGATCCGAGTCGCTCTTCATGCAAAAAGGCAGCCCTTTACAAAAGTCAGTTTGACAGGTAAAGTTGTGAGTTGAACAGGACCCCAAGACTGAACTTGCCAAAGGAGAATGCAGACCCCAGGAAGGCACAGAGGTCAGGTCCAATGAAGGAGAGTTGTGCTGGGAAAGAGCTTTGTTTCTCTGTCCTTAAACGAGGCACACCGTCCGCCCCACACGCTGTCGATGGAGCCTTGCACATGTTAGGCAAATGCTCAACCACTGTACCACACTCCCTGAACCCTAAAAGAAGCATTTGGATTAAGAGTCATTTTATCCCAACTTGCAAAGATCCATTTTTAACTTTCTGCCTAGCACATGGGGGTGTTTTAATTTGTTTCTTGTGTAGTGGTTTTTATTTCCAAATTTCATACATTGATAATCATGAGTTTAGGTCATAGACAAATTCTTCCTGCTTTAGAAGTATTACATTTAAATGTGCAGATCGTCCGACCAGAAGATTGCACAAATCCTAAAGGAAAAAAGTAGACACTGGCCAGGTGCTGCGACTCAGGCCTATAATCCCAGCTACTTGGGAGGCATAGGTAGGAGGATCATGGTCTGAGGTACCAAACCCTATCTGAAAAGTAACTAAAGCAAAAAGAGTTGGGGGTATGGTTCAAATTATAGAGTGCCTGCCTAGCAAGCTCGAGGCCCTGAGTTCAAACCTAGTGCTGCCATAAAGAAAAAAAGTAGATGTTGGGGAGAAGAGGGCCTGCAGTTGAAGCCTACATCTAGAGAAAGGTTTTCCAGCCCTGTTTGGCTCCACTGCCCAGCGATTTCCCTATGTTCTTGTCCCAGGCCAAGGCAGGCATTCTACCACTTGAGTCACTCCATCAGCCCTTTTTTTATGTTGGGTATTTTCAAATAGGGGCCAAGAACTGTTTACCCAGGCTGGCTTTGAACCCAGTCCTTCTGATTTCTGCCTCCTGTGTAGCTGGTATTACAGGCGTGAGTCACCAGTGCCCAGCCTCTCATGAATTCTTAATTGTTCCCCAGAAAAAAAGGGCCAAGTAAATCTCAGAAAGCCCAAGTCCCTTGCCTAGATTCTTTGGTTGCTGAGGCCTAGTCCAAGGCTGATTGTACAGCAGTGAGCAAAACAAAGTCCCTGGCCTCCTGGAGCTTGAGGTGGAGTAGGAAAAGATTGTCAGGCAGGAACAGGAAAAAAAGACAATTCCACAGCACAGGGGATTGGAAAGATGGACCGGTGCATAATACTAGGAGACATCATAGAACTCCATGATCAGATATCATGTCCTGCAGTATCTACCAGACTTTCAGACAGAGCCCTATGGGAGGGAGCCAGTAGGGGAGCTCAGAGGGCTCACTTACCCTTGCATCATCAAAGCCAGTGGAGCTGAACTGTCTTAGAACCCACCTCTCCAGCCAGGGAAGCAGTCCTGGGGCATCAAGAAACAGCCACAAGCCAGGCTTGATGGGCATGGTGGCTGCATGAGTCCTTGGGCAGTAAGTGCTAACAACTGGGCCTGGCCAGGTATGCACTAGATGTGTCCCAGCTTCCCGGGCTCCTGAGAGGCCTTCCCCTCATTTACAGTGACACTAAGGTCACCTTTATGCTCGCCCCTCACCATCCTCCTTGGTACCTCTACTTTTCTGGGTGCTTGGTTTCTATTTAGACTTTTTTCAGACAAAAGATTCTGCTACTCAAAAAAACACACACCTCTGGTCAAACATTTTCTGTTACAATGGAGGTGGTGAGTGCCTGGATAAGATAGGATTTGCCTCAGGTCATGCCCAGGTCAGCATGGACTTGTACCTGGGCTTTATAGTTAAAGGCCTCCTTGGCCATTGTCTCTTCAGCTGACTCTCTTTAGCCTTTGGACCAATGGTCTCAGTAATGCAAATGGCCCTGAGAGAAAGGGATATTCCCTCATGCCATGGTCAGGGCCTGAGCCCACTCTGTCAAGGTTCGAATCCCCCAGGAAAAGCCAAGTCTTGCAGCTGTAGGCAGAGTGGAGCCTGACCTTGATGGTGCGCGAGCTTCGTTACTCACGCAGGAGACAAGCCCCTTGAGCCCCCCCATCCCTACCCCGTGTCCCTTGTCTGTAGAATGCAGCTCCTTCTCCACCACCTACCACGGTGATCCTCCTCATCTTGCTGTGCTTCGAGGCGCTGCCTTCCTCATCTTCACGTCCGTGATGTTTGGACCCCAAGTGCACTCCATCTGTACCACCAGTCCACAAATTGACCAACACTTTACCACGCCCGCACATCTGCATATAGAGGGCCAGCCCAACGCCGTACCCCTCCAACCTACTGCTCTCGTCTGCGCAGAGGTCACCTCTGTGCGCATCCTGTGTTGCGGAAACAACCTATTCCATTTGCATGGCTGCCACAAGCTCAACACCTATGAGACCTCTGAGCTACCCGAACTGTGCTCGCCAGCCCCACCATCCGCAGACAGAATTGTCTGCCTACTTGCACACACAAACATCTTCCCAGCACCTCGACCAGGCACTAAAGTTTAGACTGTGCTCACTCGGGAACAATTCCCAGCAACCATTTGACTTAGACACAGCTGTCTTTACCATTCTATCCTACAACATTGATATTCCTACAGCTCAGCCGAGGGACAGGCATGTTCAAACTCCTGAAGGCTCTCCAGAGTCAGCTCAGACCACTCGCACACATCCTCTGAGAACTCCTTGCCCACTTGCCTTCCCCACTAACATGCCTCCACCATCCCCCTCCCCACTACTCCCAATGCTCCTTCTTCTGGGCTGCCTTAGAACTACTTGCTGAGGGCTGGCGTGTGGCTCAAATAGTAAGAGTCGGCTGCCTAGCAAGGCATGAGGCCCCTGACACGTGCAAATCCCATCTCCCCCCAAAAAAAGAAAGCAACTATTTGCTGGAGTCTGGAGATACCTCTCATGGCTCGGTCTGCCCTTACATATGCAATCGGCCCTATCCCCAATCCTAGAATAGCCGCTAGCGACAATGAGCGTGGCAAATGGCCCCTTTACACTACCTGAGCATTTGAGACCAAGCCATAGTCCTTAGTGCCATTCCGCACAGGTGTCAGGCTAGCTCACAGGAGATCAAGTGTCCCTTCCCATGGCTCAGACTCCCCCTCGACTGTCGTGACATAAGAAAAAAGCCATCAGAGAAGGGACAATGTGACACTATCCACACTAAGCCTGTTCCAAAAGCACCATATATTATCCGAGTTTCTGCGGTTCCAAACCAGTTTTAGAACAACAGAAGACTTTAGCCACAGTCTTTTCTCATTAAGACCACGTACCCCCAGATGCTGTCTGCCACCACCTATTTATCCTAGCAATTTGCGCACGCGCACCCTAATCGTCATCACCGATCCAGTCTGCACCGCACCCAACTCACACAGGCAGCCCAAGTGCCTCCACAACATAGTCACACATCATCGCCCTCCATCTGCCCCCGGCACTAAACCAGCAGTGATACGCCATCATACCCACCTATAAATTTACGGCCACCGAGAACGTGAATTCGCCTCAACGCACCGACGCGGCGCTAGCGCAGTTCTCGCCTCCAATCTTCTGCCAATAGTCCGCTTAGACAGCCCGAAGTCTCAAACCCTACCACACAACAAAAATGTTATTGCAAGAGTTTCAGTAAAAATAGTAGCCAGTGGTGTGGATCCAACCATGTGTCCAAGCAGTAGATGGCCAACTTCCCTGCATAAGGCCTGCAGGGAACCCAGAGTAACTATCAGACTCTGCCACTTGGAGATGCTGCCAGGCCGTGCTGGGAGGTTGGGGGTACAGAGGGCAGAAGGAAAACTCTCAGCTACTGGTCCCAATTATTCTGTTCATCAAGGCCATTCCTAAAGGAATTGTGTTGGAAAGGAGAAAGGAATAAAGGGTGTCGTCCCCTTACCTGCTGTCCGCAGGTCCTAGCTATGAAGAAAGACTCAGACTGGGCTGCCCCAACTCCCATTTCACTAGAGACCACAGCAGACAGCCCTGATTGGGCTCCTGCCAGGTTGCCTCTGTTCTATCCTTGTGTGCAGAGGCCTCACTGTTGGCCAGTTCCTCTGGCAGCTGACCAACTCCATCTGAAGAGGGAAATGGGAAGTCTTTTCCCAACCTCTATTTTTTCCTGGAATACTGAGCAGGGGAAGTGGTGCAGGCTCCCCTACACGGGCCTCCTCCATGCTGCTTCCCCTTGAAAGACCTTCATCAGAACTGAAGCTGACTAAACAGGCCAGGCCACTCCTCTAACCTGTACTAATCCTTTCCTTCCTCCTCTGCGGATACCTCTCTCCCCTCACCCATGATCTCTTGCTCCTGTCCACTTTCTCTCTTTGTGTCTCAACCAGCCTTGTTGAGCTGCTTGGCCCCCCCAGGCTGGTAAGACAAGGCCAGAGCAGTCATTTGCTTTTTTTTTTTGTCTGCAAAGTGATCATACTTCCTGTGAGTCTTTCCCAAGTTAACAGTCACCATTGGTTACCAAAATTGCCAGAGCCTTACAGGCCTCCCGCACGAGGTGCAGCACAGGCTCTTTAGAGTGCCTCTGGAGCCCAGGAAGGATCCAGGTGGTAGATGTGCGCCCTGAGGTAAACACACCGGATTGGCATGAGTAGAAACAATGGCTTGGGTGCCTGCTGGTTGTGTTCCTTTACCTTCTGTCTTGGAGGGCCTTGTAAATGTGTGCCCACCAAAAAAAGCATGTTTGTTTGTTTGTTTTTCAGTAACACTTCTTTATGAGAGACAGAGAAGGAAGACGTATTATGTAGATAGCTTTATTGCTTTAAAAAAAAGATTTACTCCAATCACTTCAAACTAATGGACATCCCTCCCCAAAACTGCAGCAATAAAGTGCTTGACTGAAAGTATGATTGTTCTTGTTTTCAGGGAATAGAACAATTGAAAAAGGAAGAGAGAAGATGGGCTAAAAAAACAAAATGGATGAACATGAAAGCCGTTTTTGGCCACCCCTTCTCTCTAGGCTGGGCCAGCCCCTTTGCCACGCCAGACCAAGGAAAGGCAGACCCGTACCAGTATGTGGTCTGAAGGACCCCTGACCGCATTGCCACTCAGACACAAACCACATCACAGCACTACCGTCCGATCTGTTTTCATGAATGTTTAGACAGAAAAGCAAAACAACTACTCTTAAAACTTTTTTTATGTCTCAAGTAAAATGGGTGAGCATTGCAGAGGGAAAAAAAAAGTTCCATGTTTTATTTTTTAAAAATCATCCTTTCGATTTGTTGATGAATGAAGCTGCTCTCTTTCCTTTTAAAATCACTTCTCTGGCCTCTTGTTTCCTCTCTGCTGTCTGTGTGGCATGACTAGTGTGGAGGGTGCATCTCCAGGCCATGCCTGTTCTACTAATCAGGTGAGACATGATGCGGTGCACGGATGGGTCAGCCCAATAGGAAAGCAGGAGGGCCCTGCCTCCCCATGCCCAGGAGGCAGGGGCGGGCGCCCCAGGACGCAAGGCCTCCTGAAGACTGTTACCTGCCGAGCCCGAGATGGGCAGGGTCAGAAGGGCCCTCAGTGCAGCGGCCTCATCCCCAAGTGGACACTGTTTGCCTCCTGACTCTTCTCAAAGCCAACTGTTG